GATCTCACGACCCTGAGATCACAGTCTGAGCCAAAATGAAGAGTCAGACGCTCAAACAACTGAGCCACCCAGGCACCTCTGTTCCTGCTTATAAGCTTCTATTAACAAATTCTTCATTCCCTTTATTCTTCCAACATGAAATTGTCATATTATGGATTTCAAGATTAGGTATGCATAAAATTTCCATATAAAGAAGTACATATCACAAAACTTTAAGAGAATATTCAAGTAGAAGCAGTTTTAGTTGTATAAATTTACCTCACTGCAACCCTTTCTGATCCTCTATCAACCAACTGAAAGAGAACAGCTGCAAAAGTCATCACAACTGCTTTGGTCTTTTAATGTTGCCCATTTAATGTTGCCCATGGCCACAATTCTGCAACTCCTCACAAATGACACACAAGAGCCAGATGATAATGCATTGGTCTGTAATCTGTAGATGTATACAAGTAGTCACTGTTGCAGTCATTCCCAGCTACCATGATCTTGAATAAGAGTTTAAGGAGTTTAAGGGTTTATGTCTTTTAAAAAGCAATAATGTTTAGGTATTTAATTAACTGTGTAAAGGCAATGGGTATCAGCTACAAAAAACAACCAAAACATATTAACTTTAACACTTAAATTATCAGCTTGGGATACTCCATTCTAATTCCCAAACAGATGCAAAGAGGAAAAAATAGTCTTAATTATATTGTAAGCAAACTGTAAAATTTGAAAACCACAATAATGCAAACAAAAAACCAGCATGTATTACAGTAATAGTCCAAGGACTCATGCAGAGAAATAGGGTTGAAATGGCTTTTCATATCTGTATAGTTTAATTGTATTATGAGAGCTGTCTAGAAGTCACAAAATAGTTTTATCAAACACTAAAGAGCTTAAGTTTCTAAACTGCAGATATTTGTTACCTATTTGAAATTTCACTTTAAAATAAAGCAACTGGGGCGCCTGGGTGGCTCAGTTGGTTAAGCCACTGCCTTCGGCTCAGGTCATGATCCTGGAGTCCCGGGATCGAGTCCCGCATCGGGCTCCCTGCTCAGCAGAGAGTCTGCTTCTCCTTCTCACCCTCCTCCCTCTCATGTGCTCTCTCTCTCATTCTTGCTCTCTCAAATAAATAAATAAAAAAAAAATAAAATAAAATAAAATAAAGCAACTGTTTGAAAGAAAAGATTCATGGAGGAGAACATTATATAGTTGTAATTTACCAAACCAATGACACAGAATCTGAAAAAACTTTAAGAAAACTACAGTTCTTTAGGCTTCTTGTTCTAAATCACTGATTAATGATCAATATCTCCCAAACTGAATGTTTTTTAAAAGAAAACCAATACAGAAAAGAGACTGTGATTATTAGCAGTAAAAGTGCAATGGTCATACTACATCAGAAAAAGTATGAAAAACAGGTATTAATGGAGTAATATTTCAAAATTATGAGTGTAATTATCTACTTTATCTTTCTTAGCATATGGCATTTGTCCAATACAGGTACAGAGGTGGTTAGAATTTATTCTAAATAAATACAAGAAAAATACACTCTATAACAATTTTAGATATGTAAAACAGATAATAGTAGCAAGACAATAGGTTTATAAACCAAGCTAAGAGCCTGAGACTTAATAAGTTTATCTATATTGTCCTTTTGCATGTCAATAATGAAGGCTGGAGAATTCAAACTGTAGTATTTACTCCACAGTATGTAGAATTCTTTTTTCCAACCTTAAGGCTTAGTTGCCTGGTTGGAATTAGGAGGAGTGGTTAAAGTAAATTTTATTTCTTGCCAGCCAAAAAAATTTGGAGATAAAAGGAGAAATAAATTTTTTAAATGTGTATCCTAAGGGGGACAGTATGTTAGCTAAGTGAGAGTAATGCCAAAAGTGTAATTTTGATTCTCAAAAGAAATGATCTCTCCACCTGTCCCTGACACCAAATAGGTCCATTAATATGGCCATGCTATGCAATCAGGAAGAGACCTTGTGTTTTAGCTCTCCCAAAATGTTCTTAATTCTTATGTGGTGTGAACCCTGTGGTAGAAACCAGTAGGCCTGCCAGGGCCAGAATGAAGCTTATGGCAAAGACTCAGAGATGTAGGCAGAGAAGACTGAGGGGTGACCTGGTCAGGAAGAGGTAAATAAATGTCTGATGCTCCACTGGAACACTAAGTGGAAAGAACAGATCAAGAGTTCACCAGCCACTTTTCAGGATTGGTGGCCCAGAGAAGACTAAGTGAACAGGTAGAAAAGGGCCTCAAACTGAAAATCGGAAAAGACAGAAGACATTATGTAGAGAGACCTCAACTTCTCGTAATATGGGGTCCTGTAAGCCATACTCCTTTAATCCACACAGGTATAAGCAAGTGGATGGGGACCGAGGATTGTTATTCAAAAGAGGCTAGGTACAAACCAGAGAAACTTTAAATTACTGTGTCAAACTAAAGTTTAAAACAAATTGGTTACCTAGTTAAAAATCTTTCTTTAAATCAATGAAGAGGACTAACTCAGCTATGGATAAATAGCCAAATATTCTCTGCATGTCCCTAGTTACAATGTGAGTGAATTTACCATAAGAATTCCAAAAGTTAGAAGAAATATGTAAGTTAATAATCAGCTATATGTGTGTTATACACTGAATATATACACATGTTCTCTCTCACACAATTCTCCCTCGCACATTCTCTCTCTCTCACACACACACACACCATAAAATTTTTCCCATCCTATTAAAGAGAAAATTTAGGCAACGGAAGCTATATCCTATAAGAAAGGGTAAGACATTTTTAGATAATTTCCCAATCTAACTTAAAGTGTACCCAACTGAGGTACTGGGGAGAAAAAAAAAGATTTATTCTAAATGAGTCCTAGTTTGTTCATCTGACTTGATTTTCTGTTGAAAAGTAGACAAAATGCTTTCCTAACATGATTATAAAAAGAGAACAAATACTTTTGCTTCTACAAACAAAGGTAAGCAAGGTAAGGAAACGAATCAATTAGGAATTATCTATTGTTTCCTGGACTGTCCTCAATTCTGGGAGACATCTAGGAGATTTCTTTAACCTCACCACCAGCACCCTCTGGCGAAAGAAATCAGCTTACATTTCATTGGAATACAATAATGTCTTTACAGTTTTGCTAATTTAAAATATCATTTTTTCTTTCAGTCACCTAATGTGCATAATTTTTCCACATTGAAATACTAATTTTGGATTTATAAAATCACATTTGGTTGTAAACATCCAATAAATTATAGTTAACATCCTTCATGAAAGTCCTTTTTGTACATCTATGCAGCGAATGAAAATAAACTTTATGTAAGTACACAGGTTAACAAACAGAGTTTGTATACTTTATATGCTTTTAAAGCCAAGGAATCCTACAAAGAGAAATATATGGATTAAAAAAAAAAACCTATTTAACTTCATTCTCTATATATAATTGTACTTCATTCAATGTCCACAAATATCACTATTAGCTCCTTTAGATATTAGTGTGAAAACAGGATGACACAGAAATCAGAGTTTTAGTTAAAACTTGTATTTTATTATTTCTTTAGCAATGTATAAAAAATTAAATTTTGGAATGTATTAAACTAGCACCCATTTGTTGTGACCTTCAAAAATTAACTACTTTTATCATGTGGATTCTAAGATGAAGCGAAAAAAAAATAAAACATAGAACAGCTCTTTTTGTAAAGTCTCAAAAAACAAGAAAAATTCCCTTGTAAAATTACAATAAAAACACAAAACAATATACCTTTCTTGTTGGGCAGCTACCTATTATGTTTAACAGGCTTAAAACAAAATGTGTCAAAGATCAAGAGTAAGTTATCTGATATGTCAAGTGCATAAGGTCAAAGGTACAATTTTATTAGGTCAGAGGTGATATAAATAAAATCTTACATGTCAAAGAAGAAGGGTCACAGACAAGGTGTATATAACATAAAAACATCACAGATGACAAGTAATAACTTTAAGTAGAACAAGTATGTTTACTATATAGATACCTCCACTGATTAAAAATGAAACTTCCATATGAGTAAATATAAAATTGCTTTACTATATCACATAACTCATGCTATATTGCATGCTTGTTTTCAGGAAGAAGGAGCTATAACCAAGAATAACTACATGAATTAAGTGAGAACTTTAAGAAAATTTAATTCCTTTGAGCTGAAATAGTACACAAATGAACACATCAACCAAATCTCAAATCACAACAGCTAAACATCAGGCTATGCTATAGTAGCTACAAAAGCTGGATGATACTGCATATTTTTCTTTCAAATTGCATGAATTAAATATTCTTTCCTTCTCAACTCCTCTCACTGAAGTAAAACACATAAAATTTAGATTTCAATTTACATAATAGCAATACTCCAGAAAATGTTTAAACAATTTGTTATAAATAATGTAGTTTTTTAATTAAGAGAATTTAATTACAAATAATTTTTATAAATAGAATAATTAAATTCTAACTAATGAAAGCAATTTAAGATTTTTTGAAGGTGGCATACACATACACATGACTCTAGTTCTAAACAGCAAACTTAAATAGTGAATGGGGATAATTATATGAATGATTCAAGAAAAAAAAAATCCTTACTCTTCACTCTTAAAATACCAATACAATTTGAGTAAAGGACAAAAATTTATTTGAGGTAAACTAAACAGATGATTAATTACATGTTTTATTAGTGATACCTAAAGCCATTCTTATAACCTTTCAGTTCAACTCAGCTCAATGAGCTTTTATTAAATACCTTACTATGTGTCAAGCATGTCAAACAATGGATATACAGGAATTAAACATTAGGAGATTTCCAATTCCAGCCACAGTGAACTGGCTTATACTGGACTATCTTCCAACTCAAAACGTTGCACAAAATATATAAAACATCAATTTGAAGGCAATTAAAGAACAGCCAACAGAGCCAGGACTTGAGAGACCATGATCCCTAGAAGAAAGGAAGCACATGAGATGAGCTCCACATTTACTCTGGATTTTTCCTCAAGGTATGCCTGTTTTTGGCACTGGAGAACAGTACAAGCTGAAAGTAGCAGCCTTACTGAGCTGAAGAGACAGAACTTGGTTTCGAGCTGCCAAATTGATTGGAACTTGAGGGGGAAAATCCTCAAAATGAGAAAATCACAGAGAATAACTATGTGCAATTTCCATTCAAGCATTGGTCATGTCCAGAAACTCAGGAGAAAACAGTGGCTTTGGTGCTCCTACTTCACTAAGATTTATTGATTTATTAAGAAGCAACCACAAAATTACCTGTGCTTCCTGACAGCATTCAATCCAGACAAAAGCCCAAGTCCTTGAACTCTCCCCTCCCCAACCAAATCACCTAGCACAAGCCCAAATCCTATAAGTCCATTCTAACACCTTATTGAGAAACTCCATAACTCCCCACAGTATGTATTTTCCATTCTTTTAATAAATTAATAAAACCCAATTTCATTCAACTACAGGTGTGTTCCTGATGGTCTTTGCCTAGAAAGCACTGACAAAAAGCTACGAAAAAGAATGAACTATAGTTTCATATAAACATTAAACATCAATCTCACAGAGTTAGGGATGGGTGAAAGAAACAAGACACAAAAAGTTCATACTGACTGATAATATTTAAGTAAATTTCCAGAACAGACAAAACTAACTGATGGTGCTAGAGTTAGAGACTAGTTACCTTTTGGGGACATGTCTGGGACAGAACATGAGAGAGCCTTCTGGGGTACAAGAAATAATCTATATATTCATGTGAGTGAAACCTATGTAAAAATTAATCAAACTATATACTTGAGATTTGTGTACTCTTAATATATGTTACACTGGGAAAAAAAGAAGTTAAACACACACATGCATGTACACACAGGTACTACCCTCAGAGAACCACAATAACCTTTCCTAGTTATCTTAAGAGATGCTTGACAAACATGAATGTCTCATCTTTGGGTAGCTTTAGAAATTTGCTAGTACAAATAGAACCAACAAATTCATAGATTAGCAATGTCATCCATGTCTAGATAACAGCTATATGTAAAATATTTATAAAAATATTCATACAAATCTAAATTCCATTATAAACAATTATAGGTAGATAAATAATGCATTTCTGAAAATTTCTAAATACTGTATTCATACAAAAGTTTCAATTTATATGACATTTATATTGTTAACTATTTTATAAGAAATGAGGAGCATCACTAAACAAATCTTTCCTTTACTATTTTTTTATTTAAATTTAATTAGCCAAAACATAGTATATCATTAATTTCAGATGTAGTGTTCAACAATTCATCAGTTGCGTGTACCACCCAGTGCTCACATCACGTGCCCTCCTTAATGCCCCTCACCCAAGGTACCCCATTCCCCCACCCACCTCTTAAGCAACCCTCAGTTTGTTTCCCATAGCTAAGAGTCTCTCATGCTTTGTCTCCCTCTCTGACTGCTTTCCATCCAGTTTTCTCTCCCCTCCCTTAAGATCCCCTGCACTGTTTCTTATATTCCACATTTGAGTGAAACCAGATGATAACTGTCTTTCTCTGATTGGTTTATTTCACTTAGCATAATACACTCCAGTTCCTTTGATATTAAAATATCAAAATACGATAACATTTTTTTGCACTAAAATTATATAACATTCTTATTCCTATGTTTGTTAAAATGTACACTAAAGTGACACATTTATATACAATATTTTAGTAGTTATTAAATGTTATAGTTTTAAATAATCACATATGAACATGTAATTCTTTATAATAAAAGAGAGCATACTAGATTATTCAATAAATATGTGTAAATGAATGAAAGTAAAGCTTACCACTTCTTCATCTGAAAGTTCACGCCCTTGGATGCTGCTATTCTCTCTCACAGCTTGCTGGTGTTTTCTTCCTTTAATGTGGCTAAAAAGATACACCTCTGAAGAGATCTAAAAGCATAAAATCAAAGCAACTGTAATCAACATATAATCATATCTAATTATAAATACTACATATTCAAGCCAGTATACTATATGGAAGTTGAGATCACTCTAGCCTTTACATACTAATTAAAAAACAACTAAATTAAAACACAATTCTGACAATCCTCTAGAAGATACATGGTCAAAAAAACCATGCCTTTGTGGCCAACCTTAACAGGATATCATTTCGTCTGAGTATCAAAGTTCAAGTTTCAGCACTAAAAATGCTCTTTTCTTTTTTGGTCCAAGTACCCAAAAATATTGCTTGGGCTAACAATTAAGCAGGTATAGCCATTTCAGCAGCAACTGCTTGCATCGGCACTTTGCATGCTACTCCTAAATGCCAATACTATTTTTCTGGTACTTACTTTGCATAAAAATCATGACAGAAATCCGTGGTACTCATCACATGCCTTAGTATGAATCATAAAAGACTGGGAGAATATATTTCCATAGTTTAATAAACTTTAGTAATAAATTATATCATCACAATATTAATAATGACAACCTACCAGGACATTGCAGAGGGAACATTGCTTCTTTCTTTCATAAGGGGTCAGTTTGGGGGCATAATCTGTATTTGCATGCCTCCCACTGCTTAACTCAGCAGCTTTTTCTTTTCTTTGTTCAATCTGTTCCATGTGCCTTCGAATGCTTTCATCATGCTGTGAATGAAGTCAAAGTGTGAGAATATAAAATATTATTCAAATTATACTGAGAACTTGAAAAAATAGTATTTCCATTAAATTTTCTAAAATAAGAATGTCTTAATTCACTGTTAACTTGAACACTAAGAACAAGAATTTACATAAAGCCCAGTAACATCTCCTAAAGTGTGCTTCATAGAACTATACCTATGGGGGATTGTTAAGTGTTTTGTGGAAAAGGTTCTATCATCAAATAAATTTGAAGAACAGTAAATTAAAGCTAAACAGGTTTTTAACAGAACTATTCTGAGCCTCTGGTATGTTTCTGTGCTCTAAGACTCAACTAAACCTAGCTATACTAAGCAACATATTACACATTTATTTGACTACAACATACTTTGGAGAAGCACTTTGGGGAATACACAATGGGAAATGTTGACCCATATGTGAAGACCAAGCATATCCTGATAGTAGACAAACCTCATCATGATACAGACCTCTACCCACACTAACTCCACACCACACCATTTCTGGTTATTCTACACTTCCAGTGACTTCCCCCAAAAACAAACAAAAGAAAAACAACCAAGCTGAAAAAAACACAATGCCAGACTTCTGACTTCATGCTCATACTTTTTCATACGACTGGAAATATCATCCCACCAACCTACCTATTCTATCCATTAAATTCATCTCTCTCTCAAATCAGGAGTTATTCTCTAAAATGTTTCCTCTGACTTCTGAAACCCTTCATGTTAGACCAAGTGTCCTCACCTGTACATCCATAGCATGCCAAGTATACCTTTATCCATATGGAAATTATCAGCATCTGAATCTCACACTAGTTTAAGAGTTTCTTGAAACTTAGGATCATGCCTTACTCATCTCTGTACCCCATAACTACCACAAAGCTCAATAAATTTTTGCTGCATTAAATTTAAATGAATGATAAAAGTTCTAGGACTACACAAATAATAAAATATTGTCCTCTACCTTACAAAATTTACTATCTCCGTGAGGAGCCAATCTGTAAATAACTGTTACACAGTGTGAAATATACTGCTAAAAACTGTATTACTAATGCTAAAGACTTTCCAGAAAATAGCAGTTAATCATAATTTCCCAAGTTACAACTGCACAACTCACAAGCACTGAAAAGCAAGTGAAACTAATTACACTAATCATCTTCTAGTTTATTTGTAAATAATTAAAAGTATGAATATCAGAAGCCAAATAGTAATGCCTTCAAGTCACTAACAAATTGGTTAGTACCAAAACAAGAAATGTTAAAATTACTTCAATTATTCTCCACATTGTTTTATCTTATTAAATTTATTTTTTATTTTTTAAAAAAGATTTATTTATTTATTTATTTAACAGAGAAAGAGAGAGCGAGAAAGGGAACACAAGCAGAGGGAGTGGGAGAGGGAGAAGCAGGCCTCCTGCTGAGCAGGGAGCCCAATGCAGGGCTCTATCCCAGGACCCTGGGATCATAACCTGAGCCGAAAGCAGATGCTTAACGACTGAGCCATCAACAGCCCCTCTTTATATATTTTAGATACATAGGGGGCACCTGTGTGGCTCAATCATTAAGTGTCTGCCTTCGGCTCAGGTCATGAACCCAGGGTCCTGGGATCGAGCCCCGCATAGGGCTTCCTGCTCTACAGGAAGCCTGCTTCTCCCTCTCCCACTCCCGCTGCTTGTGTTCCCTCTCTCGCTGTCTCTCTCTGCCAAATAAATAAATAAAATCTTAAAAAAAAAAATTTTTAGTTTTTTGATAGCTGAGTGAGTTAGAAGTGATCATAACCAAATCATATAAGTCTCATTATCCAAATACTAAGAATTCAAATTAAAATTTTTACACAGTTCCATAAATAAAAAATTTAACCTCATGCTCCATTGAAAGCTCTAGAATTCCAAATTAAAATATATAATATCCTTACCTTGAGCTGAATTTTTTTCTGCAGCTCTTCCATTGCTTCTTGTTGAGCAGCTGTGAGTGCGGCCAATCGTTCTTCCCTATCTCTGTAAGAAAGATAGTAAAAATTATAAACTCAACTGCTTGGAGTAACAAATCTCATGAGGTTAAAAAATACAATTGGGATACATAGGATTACATATTCTAAAGGGATATTATTTTTTAAATTATTCTTTTCTGAGTGCCTAAGTCCCAAATGTAGTGCTCAATAAATGTTTAAGAAGCAACACAAATTCTTAATTATAAAAATAGGTTTCTGGACCCATACCAGGTATGGGTTTAAATACTACCTCTGGAGCTCTCATTTATATACGGCATGTTGAAAACATATTTATCTCTGTTGCCTTCCAAAAAACCACTAAAACCACAAGAAATGAATAGAAAAGGCACAGACTCACAAACACAAAAGTAATAGCAAATGAAACAATCACAAATTATGAGACATACAAAGAAGTATGACCAGGCTTTGAAAAAAGCAGTCAATTGAAACTGTCTCTGAAGAAGGCCATATGCTGTATTTAGTAGGCAAAGACTACAAAACAGCTGTTACAAATATGTTCAAAGAATTAAAAGAAAGTATGCCAAACTAAAGAAAAATATTATGGCAATGATTCAACAAATAGGGAACCTCAACAGACACGTTTTTCCTTAAAAAACTTTCCAATAAAAGATACCAAGACTCCTTAAACAAATGGCTGATTCTAGGGGTGGAGTAGAGAAAACAAAGGATGAGTATGGAGGATCTTGCAGTGCCAGAAGAGCAATAAAGTGTTCAAAAAATAAAATGATGAAGTATGTTGAAGGGACACAGGGGCCAAATGAAAGAGCTCCCAATGTCCAAAGTTGGAACAGTTTGAGCAACAAAATAAATAATATTGGTTTACAGCACAATGTATAAAATAAAGATAAGTAAGTCCACACTGACATTTAAAAAAGCGTTTAATAAATAGGAGAGAACAAATGTCCGTTACAGAAGAATTACAAATAATTTATGTAGGAATTCTCCTCTCAAGAAGGTAGAGAATAATTCCCCACCTTTTCAGTATTGGCTATGCTTAGTGACTTGCTTCCAAGGGGGATAGCATAGAAAAAATTTTAGAGTAATTATACAATGGAGAAATCTGACAAACACCACCTTAGCCAGGGGATCAAGGTTAATAAAATTAGTGATAATTCAAATTGACAGCATGAACCTTTGAGATGTTACAAATGGAAATTCTTAGTTACTTCTGTGTTCTTTCTCCCAGAAAGCTATAACATCAATCTAACCAGGAGAAGAACATCAGACAAGTCCTACCTGCAGGACATTCTACAATCTACCTGACCACTATTCATAACTGTCAAGGTCATCAAAACCATGGAAAGTTTGAGAATATATGACAAATCAGAAATGCCTGAAGAGAAATGACAATTAAATATCTGAACAAATAAGCCCAAACACTTCCCAAACTTAACTATGTACAGAATTGAATAATCACGAAGAGAACCAATCTAGAGAAATCATAGGCAATCTGATTACAGACAAACAGAAAATTTGGAGCAGAAAGGAAAAAACAATTCACCTTATACAAATGAAAACCAATATAATTAATGACTAACTTTTATATCAGAAAAAACAGAAGTCAAAAGATTCAAACAACTGAAAACAAAGAAGAACAAAACCAGGAACTCTGTATCCAACAAAACTGTCATTCAAAATGAAGGAAAATGTCAAATATATTACAATAACAAAAAATTTTTAAAAGCCAAAAACAAAATGAAGGCAAAATATTCCCAGATAAGCAAATAGCAGAATAATTCAATGACAGCAAAACTCCCCTACAGGAAATACTGAAAGAAGCCTATGTAGCTAAAAAGCAATTATGCCAAAAAGTAACCTGAATCCAAAAAAAAAGTACACCAGAAATGGTATTTTAATAAATATATTTTCTCTCTAATCTAATTTCTTTGAAAAACGTGGCACTACATAAAGAGATAATTATAATACTGCATTGTTGAGTTTATTACATATAAAGTTATACTTTATGTGACAATAATAGCATGAAGAAAAGGCTACAGAACTATAATGGAACAAAGTTGCTCTATTTTACCAAAATTAAGTTAGTTTTAATCAAAAGTAGATTGTCATAAATCAAGATAAATATTGTAATAAAGAGAGGAACCACTAAGCAAAACTAAGAGTTTTAAAAATCAAGAGAAAGTGGTGCCTGTGGCTCAGTCAGTTAACTATTCAACTACAGATTTTGGCTCAGGTCATGATCTCAGGCTCATGGGATAAAGCCCCATGTCAGGCACCCTGCTCAGTGGGGAGGCTGCATCACTCCCTCTCTCACTGCCCCTCTCCCTGCTTCTGCTCTCTCTCTAATATATTTTTTAAAAAATGAAAAATTTTAAATGATGCACTATAAAGTATTAAGGAGGGGGGCAGAGCAAGATGGCGGAGGAGTAGGAGACCTGGATTTTGTTTGGTCCCAAGAATTCAGCTGGATAGGGATCAAACCATTCTGAACACGTACAAACTCAACAGGAGATCAAAGAAAAGAACAGCAACAACTCTCTGAACAGAAAAGCGACCACTTTCTGGAAGGTAGGACGTGTGGAGAAGTGAATCCGAGGCAATATTCCGAAGGACAGACGGCGGGGGAGGGGGCCTCCAACAGCCGCTTCTGGCAAGTGATAGAGCAGTGGAGCACAAAATGGGAACTTTTAGAAGTCGGCTCCGCTGAGGGACACGTCGCTCCAGTGGCTAAGCGGGGGCAGAACCCTCATGGGACAGTGTGGTCTCAGGACCCTCGGGGTCAAAGAAAGACTGAGGGTGCCTGAGTGCAGCAGAGGTCCTGGGTATCAGAGCAAGGAAGCCGACTGCAGAGACGGAGTCGAGGCATGGGCTCTCAGCTCGGGATTGCCATAAACTGTGATCCGCGACACAGTCGGGCCACTGCTCCTCCAGCAGGGACCCAACAAGTGGCAGATCCGGGGAAACTCCCCTTCCTCCCCTGTAAGGAGCTGCACGGGAGCGCACCGCAGGAATCTGCTGGGTTTGGAGACTCCACACCGAGTCCGGTGCCAGAGAGAGAAATGCTTGGTCACAGGCCGGGTGAGCACAGAGTACAGCCAGAGATCGGGGAGATGTGAGTGACTGACTGCTTTTTTCTGGGGGCTAACTGAGAAGCGGGCCCGAGTTCTCGGCTCCTCCGGAGCGGAGACTGGGAGGCCGCCATTTTCACTCTCGTCCTCCAAAGCTGTATGCAAAGCTTGCAGGAAACAAAAGCTCCCAAGGCCAAACCCGAACAGATTACTTAGCCCAGACGGCAAGGGCGAGGCAATTCCGCCTCCGGCAAAGACATTTGGGAACAACGGCAACAGGCCCCTCCCCCAGAAGATCAGCAAGAACCACCAGCCAAGACCAAGTTTACCAATCAATGAGAACGGCAAAACTCCAGCGCTAGGGGAATACTGCACATAGAATTCATGACTTTTTTTACCATGATTCTTTAGTCTTTCAAAGTCAATTTTTTTTTTACTGTCTTTTTTTTTTTGAATTTTTCTTTTTCCCTTTTTCAACATCTTATCAATCCCTTTTTTAAAAAAACATTTTTATTTTTCATTTTTAGAGTCATATTCTATCCCTTCATAGTAGTTACCCTTATTTTTGGCATATATCTGTAAGTTGCTCTTTCCTTAAAATTTTGAGATACAGTTTCTAACAGATCAAAATATACCCTAAATCTCTAGTGAATGGCTTTGTTTTAGTCTCCTGCCTGATCACATTCTCTCCCTTTTTTTCTTTTTTTATCCTCTTTTCTTTATTTCAAACAACTTCTTATCAATTCCTTTTATAAAATTTTTAATAATTTTCATCTTTACAGTCATAGTCCATCCCTTCATTGTATCAACCCTTATTTTGTACATATATAAGTCTCTCTTTCTTTAAAATATTGGGAGGCACTTTCCTCTAACAGACCAAAATACACCCAAGATCTAGTGTGTGGCACTGATCTATGCATAAGCCTAATCATATTTGATCATATTCCGTTTTTCTGTTTTGTTCTGTTTTTGTTTGTTTTTATCTTTTTCTTTTTTTATCTCTTTCTTTTTTCTTTCTTTCCCTTTCTTTTCCCCTGGTTTCAGGTCTTTTCTGAAGACTTGGTAATGGACTTCTCAGGTACGTTACCATGCTAATGGACACCAAAAGAAAGCTGGGGTGGCAATCCTTATATCAGACAAATTAGATTTTAAACCAAAGACTGTAATAAGAGATGAGGAAA